CTGTTTCTTAGGAATTCCTTTTATTTGAATGTTGAACTTGTGAACTTATTCTTTAATTTTCTGATTTTTTTCTCTTCTTTTCCATAGCTTTGTCTTTTTTTGTTGTTTTGTTTTCTGGAACATTTTTCCAATTTTATTTTTCATAATTCTACAGAGTTTTTCATTTATGCCATTATATTTTTAATTTTCTATCATTTTATTATTTATTGATTAAACATTCCTTTTTTATAGCAGGCTGTACTTGGCTCACAGAAACAATATTTTCTCTTACCTTGAAGTTATTAATGCATTTTCCTCCTATCTAACTCTTATAGTTTGCTTAAACAAGCACTGTTCTCTATTCATGTATTAACATGTCAGAGGTATGTGATTCTTCACTGTTTGCATAAATTTAAGAGTGGTGGCACATTTAGAGTGTGAGGGTGGAGATTGTTGACTGTGCTGTAGAGAGATTTGTCTAAGTGTGTATAATACCATTTTATGTGATGACAGACATAGTGTAGATTCATAGTGGCTAGTGTGACTGAAGAACTAGCATTTCATTTTTACTTAATTTATTTAAGTTTTAAAATCAATTGTGGGGTTGAGGGTGTAACTCAGTGGTAAAGTACTTGCTTAGCATATACAAAGCCCTGGGGTCTGTCTTCAGCACTGCAAAAAAGTAAAAATAAAATTGTCACAGTGTGGGGCATAGTGGCAAACACTTGGAATCCTAGTTACTCAGGAGGTTGGGATTGGAGGATCTTGATTTAAGTCCAGCCCAGGGCAAAACCGTGAGACTCTTATCTGGAAAAAACAAAATAAAACAAAAAAACTTAAAAGCAAAAAGGCTGGGGAGATGTTGTCCCTAGCACCATCAAAAACCAAAAATTGCCACAAGCAGCTATTGGCTGCTGCTTTGAACAATAGAAATTTGGGCTGTAAGTTTGCATTTTTACAAGTCAACTTAGGTTAATTTAATAAAGAGCTTTGAACTCCCCTTTTGCAAGCTTTAGACCTAATTGCTAGCATTCTGAGAGCCAGGGAGAGGAAGACCAGGTGGCAAATATGAGTATGAGGTTTTCAGTATGTCAGCATCCACCTATTTCCTAATTTTCCATTCACTGTTGTAGCTCTCACCTCTCCCAGAGCCCTCTATTTCAGCTTTCTTCCAAAATAAACTTTCAGACTTTTGTTAACAGTAAATAGGGAAGCTGGGCATCAGTGGCCCAAGACTGTCACCCCATACTCATAGGATTGTGGTTCCAGGTCTGTGAGACCTCATCTTAAAGGAAAAAAGCTGAACATGGTGGTCCACACCTGTCATCCCAGCTATGACAGGAGGCATGAAACAAGGAGGATCTCAGTCCAGGCAGGCCTGGGCAAGAAAAGCAAGACCCTATCTTCAAAATAACCCATAAAATACTTTTCTGGGAAGAGCCAAGCCTTGAGTTCAAACCCAAGTACAGAAAAAAAAAAAAAAAAAGACTAAATAGATTTGAAGTTCTAAATCCTTGTTTTTGCTTTCCTTTTCTTTTTTTTTTGGTGATACAGGGGTTTGAATTCAGGGCCTCATGCTTGGTAGCAGGTGCTCTACCACTTGAGCCATGCCTCTAACCTACTTTCAATTCTACTTCCAGAGCTACCAGAACCACCAGTTTATAAGACTTGGGTCCATCAGGGACTTGTTAGCTTTTCTACCACTATCTTTCTACCAGTGCTCTTGAGTAAGCTATATCAGTAATCTTTCTTACATGTCCTTATCAGCTTTTATATTTTGATGCTGTTATTTCCTCTCTTATTCTTTGTTCTTATGATTTTATGTCCTGAAAAAAATCTCTTTACTATGTTTTAGTAGGGTTTCAGAAAACAAATGAATATGTTTAGTCAGCCATCTTTGCTCCACAGTTGTTTTATTTCATGTGTGAGTCTGTGATTATGACTGTAACAGGTATTTAGAAACCGCTTTTGCAAAAACAAACAAAATACCCCATTGTGTAGTTAACTTCTCGTTAACTAAAAGTAGTAGAAAAGCTTGGCATCACTGTCCCCATTTTGCATCTGTCTCTTTTGCTCTGTGTGAGGACAGAACTGATTGATAACATCTTTATGACAGTGGACTGAAACTACCTCCAAGGAATTACAGAGCCTTGGCAGGACAGACCACTTCCCAAATGAGGACAATTACCTATAATGAGGAGGCTGCCCCCTGAGGCAGGAATAATCATCTCATTGCTCCCCTCAAGTGATGACAGTGATAATAATTAACCAAGCCACATTTTGCCTGGAACTGCTTTACTTATGTACACCTCTCTACCCCTGCCCGAATTCTTCCTCTATTTAAACCTAAAGCTCATGTCTGTAAACTTGGGCAAAGGTGTTTACTTTGCCTCTCCCCACAGTGAGCTTGTGCTGCATAATAAGTTCCTTTCTCTGCCCTCCACCACTACTCCCCTCTTTATTTGTCACAGTGGGGAAAGTGGCCAGACCTGACATGGAATTCTTGGAGTGGAGCCTCTGGCTTAGAAATCCAGTGACATGATCTTTCCAATATAATCATGAAATCTATTCCTTTCTAAATTGATCTTCAAGTGGACTATTTACAATGTCACTGCGTTAGTTAGTTTTCCATTATTTTAACAAATACCTGGGATTATCAGTTCATATAGAGAAGAGGTTTATTTTGGCTCACAGTTTTGAAGGCTTCCATCCACGGTCAGTTGTGCTATTTATTGCTTTTGGGCCAATGGTGAGACAGTACATGATGGCAGGGAACACACAGTGAGCTCACCTCATGATTAATGGGAAGCAAAAAGAGAGAAAGGAGTTGGGATCCCACTCTCCCCTTCAAGGGCATGTCTCCAATGGCCAGAAAACTTCTAATGGACACCACTTCTGAAAGTTTCTACCACATCCCAACAGCACCAAACTGTGATCTAAGCCTTCGGCACGTGGGTCTTTTGGAGACATTTCAGATCCAAACTACAATAATCACCCAACTGCTATAACTTAGAATTCATATCTTCAGGAATAATCGTAAATGTGAATAAAATATTTTTACCTGTTTTTATTTTTACTATCAGCTGACATCTATAAACATTTAAACCTCCTGTTTATTGAGTTAGGATATTTGTCTTCACACAGTAAGTTTTCCAAATCTATTGAATAAGCCTCTCATAGCAGGATAGAATTTGTACATGTTCAAATATAAGGTGAATTCTTTTATCCCTAAAAAAATGGGAAAAAATGTAACTTTTACTTAGATATACAATTAACTGCTCAAGATAATTGAATGGGACTCCTAAAACTGGAGAGAGATTTTTGTAAAGACCCAAAATAAGACAATTTCTTTTATTTGTATGAAACAATTTTAGGGAAAATGTCATCTTATATTCAAGTACTTACATTATTTAGACAACTTTGTTTAAAATAGAAAGCATGGCTATAACTTCAGACATAATTATTGGTATTGTATTTTTCCTCTTCTCCCACTAAAGGAGTGGTCAGTAATAACTAAGATTGGATTTTCTGTGCCATGGGGATTTCAATTGACTATGACTTACAGAAATAAACTGTATTTAGTGTATGCTCATGTTTATGGAGTAAGGCATAAGCCCAATATATGTTAAAGGAACATATAATAAGGGAGATCATTTTAGCTTTAAAAGTAATACTTTTAATTGGTATTTATTTATTTTTCTTTCTTTCTTTTTTGGTTGGACTGGGGTTTGACCTCAGCTTTGAACTTGCAAAGCAGGCGCTCTACTGCTTGAGTCACACCTGCAGTCCATTTTGCTCTGATTATTTTGGAGATGAGGTTTCTTCAACTATTTGCCTGGGCTGGCCTCCAACTTTGATCCTCCTGATCTCAGCCTCTGAAATAACTAGGATTAAACACATGAGCCACTGGTGCCACTGTTTTTTTTTCACACAAGGTCTCATATGTAGCCCAGGCTGGCCTCAAATTCACTAACCTCCTACTTCAGCCTCCCAAGTACTGGGATTATGGTGTGTGTCACCATACCCAGCAAAGTAATACTTTTTAAATTTGTATTTTAGTTTGGACTTTTTTGTGTAGTTCGATGATTTATTTCTCTGCTCTTTAGTTTTTTAACTATGAACTGACTTTCTGTGTAAAACGAAGTGTCGGAGACAAGGCTCCCTTTGTGAGCCATTCTGTCTTGACCTTGCCCTGGAACATTTTGCAGTTGTTTGTCCCAACTTCTCCATCTCCAGCACAAGATGGTGCCGTCCCTGCTTCTCTTCCGGGAGTTTACCTTGCCGCCGGCGCGAACGGGCACGCTATAGCAGAACCAGCCAACCAGCCTGCACCTCCTCATACCCCTTACTCCCTCAGCACATAAATACCCCTGTGTGAACAATAAAATTTTGCAGCTCGATCAGAACTCCTGTCTTGCTGTCTCCTTCGTGTCTGTTGTCCCTTCATTCTTCCCCTTCTAGGTTCGCTACCCACGCTGATGTGTCCTGCAGGACGGGACATCTGGCGCCCAATGTGGCTGTAGCTATTCCTGTGATTGCGGGGAGAACACCGTCCTCCGGAAAGGCTTGGCGCCAAGCAGAGTTCGCGATCGCCTCGGCTAACGCAACCGAGAGACAGATCCAGGAGGAGTGTGAGGACGGCGAATGGTGAGTGACCCACCATGGGACAAGCAGTGTCGTCACATGATTTGTTTCTTTCAGGCCTCAAGGAGGCCCTCAAGACACGAGGGGCGCGTGTTAAGAAAAAAGACTTGAGGTCATTATTTTGTTACATAGGAGATTTATGTCCTTGGTTTCCTCTCGAAGGAACCATTGATGGTAAAAGATGGCTCCGGGTCGGAGACTGTTTAAAAGACTATTATGAATCTTTTGGCCCTGAAAAGGTCCCTGTGACCGCCTTTTCTTATTGGAACTTGATTAATGACATTCTCAAAAGTGCACCCTTTGATAATGGTACTTTAAAACTTGTTAAAATTGGGCAAAATGCTATGCAGACGGCTTCCCGCCCTCCTACAGGGGTCTCTGATGGTGGAGGACCCACGGATGCTGTCAAACATCTTCAAATAATACAGCTTTTAAAACCCCAAATCCCTGAACTCACATATCACCCCTTAATGTTGCCTAAATCTCAGATTCCAGATTTAGATCCCAATACATTAGATATTTTGGGAAGTACCTTCTCCTTGCTTAACACTTCCAACCCCACCCTTGCTAAGGATTGCTGGCTTTGCATGACCACAGGAGCAATAATGCCCATGGCAATACCTGTTAACTCCACCGTAAATAATCAGGATACCTGCCAATCTGGACTTCCCTTTAAAGTACAGCCTATGGATGCACCTACAGTATGCCTTCAAGGCAGGATGCAAAATAATTCTTATGATATTGACGTTGGGGTTAGTTCTTTTAGAAATTGCTCATCAGTTCTAAATTATTCCTCACCCACCCCAGCTCTTTGTCCCCCAACGGTACAGTTTTTTTGTGTGGAGGAAACTCAGCCTTCCCCAGGCTTCCAGCAAATTGGACTGGTGGCTGTGTTGTTGCCTTATTACTCCCAGATATTACTGTTGTCTCAGGAGATGAACCTCTGCCCATTCCTAGCTTAGACACCTTAATTAAAAGACATAAACGGGCAATACAAGCCTTACCGCTCCTTGCCAGCCTTGGAATAACAGCAGCTATAGGCACAGGTACAGCTGGCTTAGGCACGGCTATACACTCTTACCGTCGCCTATCTCAACAACTTATAGATGATGTACAAACTCTATCTGGAACCATTAAGGATTTACAGGACCAAATAGACTCCCTGGCAGAAGTGGTCCTTCAGAACAGGCGAGGCTTAGATCTGCTAACAGCCAACCAGGGAGGTATCTGCTTGGCCTTAGGGGAAAGATGCTGCTTTTATGCCAATAAATCAGGCATAGTACGCACCAAAATTAAACAGCTTCAAGAAGATTTAGAAAAGAGACGAAGGGAGCTATTTGAAAACCCCCTCTGGACTGGGCTTAATGGAATTCTACCCTACCTTCTTCCACTATTAGGCCCCTTGCTAGGTCTACTTTTAATTGTGATCATAGGGCCCTGCATTATAAACAGGCTGATACAATTCATTAAAGAACAAATTAACACCTTAGCCTCTAAGCCTATACAGGTCCATTATCATCGCCTGGATATGGAAGACCATGCTCCTGAGACCTTCCTTTCAATAGAAACTCGCTAAATGCTCCATCTGGGTTTCCAAATTTTCTCTCTGCCACCCCCTCTTCTTATATAACATTCTTGACCACTCATCGCCCATTGGGCCCTCCTCCACTGGGCCCCTCTGCTTGGGGGAGGCAGCACCCAGGGAGAGTGATCATAAAGGCTTTTCTAAACGAGGGTGCAGGTAAGACTGCAGGAGGGTGGATCCTAGGATCCCCAGACCCAAGACCTCTGTATGACATGCCCTGGTGCATGGCGGTTGGCATGCTCCTAAAAAATCCGCCTCCTCAAAAAACATGCTGAGGAGATTCTCTTGAGAACTTAGCAAGGACGCTTGCTTACAAAGCAAAAATGATCTCCACCCCGAGGAACTGGGCCTCTGTCATCCCCTCTCAATAAGCCGACATATTCTGGTCATGTTTGTATAAGAATAAGGGGGAAATGTCGGAGACAAGGCTCCCTTTGTGAGCCATTCTGTCTTGACCTTGCCCTGGAACATTTTGCGGTTGTTTGTCCCAACTTCTCCATCTCCAGCACAAGATGGCGCCGTCCCTGCTTCTCTTCCGGGAGTTTACCTTGCCGCCGGCGCGAACGGGCACCCTATAGCAGAACCAGCCAACCAGCCTGCACCTCCTCATACCCCTCACTCCCTCAGCACATAAATACCCCTGTGTGAACAATAAAATTTTGCAGCTTGATCAGAACTCCTGTCTTGCTGTCTCCTTCGTGTCTCTTGTCCCTTCATTCTTCCCCTTCTAGGTTCGCTACCCACGCTGATGTGTCCTGCAGGACGGGACAACGAAGATGGTGACTCATCTTATATTCACCACAGGTGAGCCCAGTCAAAGACCATGCTTAGAACCTTCAAAGTCCTCCAGTCTTCTTAAAGAATGCAAACTTGGAGAATAAGCATGCATAGCTGGCTGGTTTGTCTTGCATATTCTTTGAATATTCAAATAGCCTCTTCTTGGTGTATTGGTCTTCTGTTTTTGTTAAATCTACAATGAGTTCTGTGTAAATCTTAGCAGTTGCCAAATCACACTTGTGTTTATTTTTCTGTTTAGTAGTTGAAGTTATTGCTCCACCCTCATTGTTCTTCCTTTTCTTTGAATTCCTGCCACACATAGATTTTGTACAGCAAGATTTGATATCTAATTATATAGTGTCATTTTGTTGCTGCTTGCTTCAGACAGTCCCACTCCCCGCCACCTCCTCCCCGCCTCCATTTAACTAAATTGTGATGGTTTAGAAGACAAAAGTCATGCATTGTACATCTTTGTAACCTCCACGTTGCTGCTTGCAGAGGTACTCAGATAAGACTCTCAGAGTGAGAGACACAACCACAGTACGTGCCACAATTTATTTTGTGCTTCTTCTTTCTCCTAAGTAGGCACTTTACATTTACTTTTCATCCTTACATAAATCCTGCAAGGAATTCTTACCTCATTTCCTAGTTGAATCCGAGACAGAGAAGGCAAGTATTTTTTCATATTAAGCATCAAAGTAAGGACTTAAGTCAGGTTGAACCCAGAATCGGAACCTATGCTCTTTCTACCAACATAGAACAACTCTTCTCATTTTCAGAGCTCCCAAAGTCTGGATATTGCATATACATGCATATGAGAGCAGCATTATTTAGTTTTCATACAGATTTGTAATATGAAGTATTAATCTACATGGAATCTCAGTCCTATCCTGATGGATTCCATGTTAACTTCTTTTTGAGAATTAGGCAACCAGATTTCTGGGCAAAAGTTCCCTACCATCACCTTAGCTCTGCTGGAGCCTGGTGAGAGACCGGAAGGGTCAACATAGCATCAATGAACAACTTGGTTCTGAAATCCAGGAACCCATCTTGAGTCTATTAGTGACAGCACTATTGTAGTGACATAAAGCTGATAGCTTATTCTTCATTTCCTTCTCTGCATTATTTTGTTCCTGCATCTTACTAACAACAATCTTTCTATGATATAATAATGAGCAAGCACTGAGTTTTCAAGTGACAAATAAGTGCCAGGGACATTTTATTTGTCATGGAAAGATATGAATTCCTGGGTCTATACAGATTCTAGTGTCCCCTTTCAGAAACCCAGCATGCAGCTTTCCCTAAGAAAGGCCACTAATGGGAATTATTTCTGATGATGCAATGCTGATATTTTAGTACCATGAAGAAGGGAAGAGGTGGGGTTTCTCTGGAGCCAGATGAATTCATAATTAGTTCTCACCCAGGCTGCTTAAGCAATTATGGCAAAACCAAATCACATTACTTTTTTCTGCTTCTCCTGATAAAAGCCTCAGCCCTACTCTTTCTGCTCCACAGGGCACTTGGCTGGCCATTATTCCTAACACCACAGACGCTATCCTTCACTTTTGTTTCCAGGCTGTAACTGTCGCTGTGTAAAATAAGAAGTGTGGGGGAAATAAAGTGCACCTCTCGGTCTCGCTACTTCAGAGGCACCTAGCAACCCTGTCTCTATGCAGGCAGCACGCATCTCTCTGGTAGTTTACTGCCCACTCACAGCAGAGGCGGCAGGCTCTCTGCAAATAGTCTTTGCTGGAGCCAGCTTGGTGGTAGGGGTGGTGGTGTCATTTGGTGTCCTTGGGGACGACATTTGGTTCTTGTTCTGGGAAGACGAGGGCAAAGCAATGACTATTTTCCCAAAGCTGTTTATGGAATCACAAATTAGGTCAAGCGGTTCCCTATTTGGGATTCAAAGTGTCAACTGAGATGATGAGAGACCCTCCCCACCCCACCAATCAGCCCTCATGGACTTTCTATTGCAGGCTCATGTATCAGAGCACATTACATATGGATGCTAATTTCCTCTGTACCTAAGGGAATTTATAAAGATTTTTTGGTTTTCTTTCCTTTTTAAAAAATATTTTTTATTAACATATATTAGTTGTACAGAGAGTTTCATTGTGACGTTTCCATGTATGCTTACAATATACCTTAGCTAGGTTCATCCCCACCAAGATTCTTTGTTTCTTAACTATTTGTATTTCATCTGGATTTTAAGCATCTGGGTGGGGAAGAACTTTGGAGAATGAAAGTTGTGTCTTTTTTTACTCATTTATTTTTACATTTTTATTAGCATATATTAGTTGTACAAAGGGGTATCATTATTACATTTCCATACATGCATACAATGAATCCTGATCAAATTCATTCCTTCTATCACTCTCTGTCGTCCCCATTCCTTCTTCTTAAAATATTTCACCAGGCTTCATTGTTCTATTTTCATACGTGTGTATAAAGTACGTTGACCATATTCATTCCTTCTCACTCTATCCTTTAGCCTTCCTCCCACCCCCTGGTACCCATTCCCAAACAGCACCTTTATTACATTCCTGTCATTCATTTTTAAAGACTAGATTCTGCATATGAGAGAGAACATGCAATCTTTGTCTTTCTCAATCTGGGTTATTTTGCTGCACATGGCAATCTAGCTCCATTTTCTTGCAAATGACATAATTTCATTCTTCTTTATGGCTGAATAATACTCCTTTGTGTATATAGGCCACATTTTCTTTATCCATTCATTGATTGATAGGCATCTAGGCTGACTCCATATTGGTATGCAGGTATCTCAACTATATTTTGATTTACATTCCTTCAGATCTATGCCCAGGAGTGATAGAGCAGGTTCATATTGTAGTTTTATTTTTATTTTTTAAGGAACCTCCATATTGAGGTTGAGGTGCATTAATTTACATTCCCATCAGCAGTGTATAAGACACTCAATATTTGTTGTTTGCTTTTTGATGATAGCCATTCTGACTGGGGTGAGATGAAATCTTAGTATAGTTTTGATTTGCATTTCTTTTATAGCCAGGGAGGTTGAACACTTCTTCATGGATTTATTGGCTATTTGCCATTTGTACTTCTTCTTTAGGAAACTGTTCAATTCATTTACCCATTTATTAATTAGATTATTTTTTCTTTCATTTTATAATTTTTGGAGCTCTTATATATACTCTGGTCATTAATCTTTTGTCTGATGAATAACTGGCAAAGATTTTCTCCCATTAGTAGGTTTTCCTTTTCATTCTGGTAATTGTTTCCTTTGCTGTACAGAAGTTTTTAATTTGATGCAATCCCATTGTTCAATTCTTGTTCTTATTTTCTGAGTAATCTGGGTTTTATTCAGAAAAGCATTGTCCTATACCTGTATCTTCAAGTGTTTTTCCCCATCAGTTTCAAGGTTTTCCTTTTCATTCTGGTAATTGTTTCCTTTGCTGTACAGAAGTTTTTAATTTGATGCAATCCCATTGTTCAATTCTTGTTCTTATTTTCTGAGTAATCTGGGTTTTATTCAGAAAAGCATTGCCTATACCTGTATCTTCAAGTGTTTTTCCCCATCAGTTTCAAAGTTTTAGGTCTTATATTAACATCTTTAATTGATTTGGAATTGTTTTTTATATAGGGTGAGACATAGGGATTTAATTTCAGTCTTCTAGATGTGGATATCCTGCTTTCCTAACATTATTTGTTGAAGACACTGTCTTCCCTCCAATTTTTCCTCTGTGCTGATTGATCAAAGAATGGAAGTGCTAACAAAGCCCCAGCCATAAAATCTGGCTCTGGGTCCCAATGCTTGCCTGCATTAAGAAAAAATGACATAATATACAGAGAAATTGAACAGTGAAATTAGTTATAGTTTTGGCCAAAACTAGGGAGAGAGAAATTCTTACTCTATCTCTACCCTGCCTTATAGCAGTGATACAACCTATAAAAAGAAAAAAAATCCTGGAGATACTGGAATTTCCTTGAGGAATCCTAATTCCTAGAGCTCCTATTACAGAAAGACTCAGGTTCCAAAGACTATGAAGCTTGATTTGGGAAACCATGAGTCCTGTTGGGTGGAAGGATGAATCCCAAGATAACAGAAAGGGAAAAGGTTTTAGCCTCCAAGAGTCATTCAGTCACTCACAAAATAATTATTGAATTCCTACCACGTGCTAAACCCTTTG